ATTGGTTTTTATAAATGTATTGTTTTAGCTGTTTTCATTTTAATTTTTATGTCAGCCACCCTGAGCCTGCCTTTGCCAGCATGAAGGGACCGACATAGTTCTATCACAATGCTGATTGTACCCCATTAGGACTGATCTGCTATTAAGACGATTCGCCATCACTATATAATATTGCACACTAGCACTTTATGACTGGTTTTTATAAATGTATTGTTTTAGCTGTTTACATTTTAATTTTTACATCAGCCACCCTGAGCCTGCCTTGGTGGGGAGGGAGGGGTACAAATCGAATAAATAAATAAATAAATAAATAAAACAATTCGATATTACACAATATTAAATTTTCAATTGAAATAGTATACATTTACTGACAGTGCTTTCAGAAAAGCAGGCAGATGCTGGAGAAATAAATACCTTGCTGGGCCATCAAGTCCAGCATTTTGTTTCCAGCAATGGCCACTGAAACATCTCTTAAAGCTACAGACAAGGCATGATAGCAAAGGGAGAATCCATGTTGATGAGCTCTCAAAGATATCTGCCTGGGTCCTCTGGAAAGAAATGCTGGAATAGATGGACTTTGGTCTGACTCAAGAAGGCAATTCTTATGTCAGTTCAGATCAAGAAAGCATCCTGACACTTATTGACTGCCCTGTTCTTTGCACAGCAGAGCAAAAATCTGCTGTCTGTCTTCACTGCTTCTTTAGTACTCTGGCATGTTACAGAACACCGAATCCTAATTAAATTGAATAGCTGAACAAACATCATGTCATCTGTAAGGATAGATTCCCATGGGTCACTGCAATAGGGCTCTGAATTCACTCTACTTTTGTCATGGCATTACAGATGGTTCCAGGTTGGAAGGATGTACCTGAGAGGGGTGGGTAGGGTTGCCAAATGTTACCTACCTTGCCGGCGGAGGACTCCTGCGTGGCTCCTGGTGCATGACCATACAAGGGAAAACCATAGAGTTTTCCCTTGTATGGCCATGGCCCTGCCCCCAGCGTGCCCGGCGTCATGACGTCACTTCCCTGTGACGTGCACGCTGGGGCGGGGTTCCCCCCGGGGCCCGATTCCCCGGCGTCGGGGAACGGGCCTCTGGGGCGGGGGGATTTCCGCCCCCGGGGGGATTTGGCAGCCCTAGGGGTGGGGTTTGGGGAGGGGAGGGACTTCAATGGGCTATAATGCCATAGAGTCCACCACTCAAAGCAGCCATTTTTCCCAAGCAAACTGATCTCTGTCGCTTGGAAATCAGTTGTAAGCCCAGAAAATTTCCTCCACCACCTGAAGGTTGGCAGACCTACAGATGGCTGCTCAAATGTATACTTCTTTTACATTCTTGGTTCTTAGAAATATCCAGCCTACCATTTTCTACCCAGGAAAAGATTTTAGGATATTAGGACCCCAACAGCAAGAATAGTTTTGTTCACAGGAACAGAAAATGTAGAAAAAAGACCAAAACATTGAAGCTTTAAATGTTGAGGGGAAAATAGGATTCCTTCTGAGGCAAAACCATTGTGGCAATTTGTAGGATCTCAAAATGAAGTTAGAGGAAATTCAGCAAAAATTAATAGAGTTGTATTTGCATTAAGAGGACAAAAAAAAACACTTTATGTATTTCAAAACACATAGGAAACCCCTTCCCAAAGGAAGAAGAATTCATGCAGCAAAAGAAAAAACTCATACATTCTGGTCCTTTGGGAGAACAGAGTAGGCCTGACAAATCTCGCCAAATCGCGGTGTGGGATCTGCATGTCTTTGCAGAATCCTTGCCGCGGGGACGGCGAGACGCGTTGCACCACCGTCGCCAGGACATGACGCTATGCATCAGATCCTGGCGACGGCAGGTGCAACACGTCTTGCTGTCCCTGCGGCAAGGATTCTGTGAAGACCTACGATCCCCCGCCGTGACTTGGCAACCCTAGAACAGAGAGAGATACATTTGGGAATTCAAAATACACACATCCCAGAGGCAGATGATTAAAAAAAATATTCAAAATTAAATGTCAAGTATCTCAGAGAAAAAGTTTTGATTTAATCTAAGCTTGAACTATTGATCGGTGAATGCAAGTTTGGAATAACATATTACACATATAATAATGCAAAAATACAATGAAACGTCTAAGGAGAGTCAGGGAGTTGCCAGGTAGCTACTATTTGTTTTCTGAGACAGCTACCTATTTTTTTAACAGGAAAAAGACTCAGGAGGGGGGTTCCCCACTAAGAAATTTAGATGCAGTCAGAATCATACCAATTGTATTAAAGTTCCTAAGTTTTTTCAGTGAGGCCTCTAGGAAATCAGATATTTATCAAAAACAGAGTTAAGTAAAATAAATGGCATGTATTCAGCCAGTCACGAGGATGCTGTCACCTTTCATTTGGCTCTCAGTGACAGGCTCCAAGGTTCAGTCTCTGAGGTCTCCAGTTAAGGGATCTCAGGTAACAATCTTGGGAAAGGCCTGGAGAGCCACTGCCAATCACAGTAGATGATACAGAGCTAGACTGAGCCAGTGGTTTGACTGGGAATGAGAAATTCATATTTTTATATAATCATGAAATATCAGAAAAAAGGGTTTGGGTCCTTTACCTAAACATGAGTATGAGAGCCTTCTCCATTAATATACTTTTTACTACTTGCCCCTTTTAATTTTGTTCTGTCATATTTACTTTCCCCTTTGTAACAAAAAAGTGTAGGTAAATGAGAGGCAGCAGACAGCATCTGTCCCCCTCACCCCCTAGCCTTCAGTTATGTCCTAATCAGTGTCATCTAGGTATCTAATAGCCAAGGGTCCCTCTGTGTGCTGATACTTATTTCTGCAGATCTGGGGTAGATGGGGGGAAACAGATCTTTCAGCAGAAAAATCTAAAACATTGAAAAAACTATATGGGGATACTTAAATCCCCCAAAATGTACAACAGCCCTTTCTGCTCATGTGCATAGAATGGACTTACCAAAGACAAGGAGGCTTCTCTCCCCCTCCCTCTCCTTTGAAAGCGACTGTTTTGAGCACGTGACTGCCCTTAGCAGTGGCTTTCCTAACGATGAGGCCTTTGCAGGCTTTTCCGCTCCTGGGAAGCCGGGAGCAAACAGGGACGGAAAGCACTGGGTGGCTTTGTGTCTGAGCCTGCACTGGCTCGGCCTCCCAGGCACTGCCACCGATGCCTGGCTCAAAGTTAGGGGAAAAAGAAGGAGAGGAGAAAGAAGGAGGGGATTGGCTTGGGGGAGAGACAGAAAGGGAAAGATGGGGGTATTTGATTGGGGGGGAGATACAAGGGGGATTGGCTTGCGGGGAGAAATGGGGGGATTGACTTGGTGGAGGGTTGGAAAGAAAAAGAAGGAGGGATTGGCTTGGGAAGAGAAAGAAAGGGGGAGAAGGGGGAGAGGAAAGGAAGCAAAGGGGAGGGAATACCCCCTCTCTGCAAGTTTCTTACGGGTCCACCCTTGTATTGTCTGAATGCATATCAAGCCACAAGCCTGACTCATTCAAGGCACAGTGTTTAATGAGGCTAGAGCATGTACACCTCACTCCAAGAACATTACATGTGGCTACATACTCATGTACATGCATACAATATTTTTCTCCATCTTCTCTTAAGATATGCCAGCTCTCACAAAACCTTCATAAGTACATGATATCTTGGGACAGTCTTAAGTTGATCTAGAGGTTAGCTAGATAGCATTGCTGAGTGGAAAAATGGGTGGGTGGAGGAATAAAATGGCTCAGGAAGCAGATGAGGGGGGCAAATGTGACCCTTGCAACCTCTTCAATTCACCTGCATGATTCTTCCCATCCCTATCAGTGGCATCCTTGTTGTAGCTATACAAAACTGCCCATACTATTTATTCGAAGGCTGGATGAATTTGACTTTGTCCCAAGACTGCATAGAGGAGTTCTACCCTTCCTCTTCAAACCACAATTAAATTGTGATTAGTTTGGGTGGGGTTACTGAGGCCATTGTCAACACTGGGCTCCAAGGCCTGTTTAAGCAAGAGAGAATAAAGGCAAAACTAGTAGCAGGAAAGTTCTGTAGTGTCATGATTGGTGAGGAACAAAATCTCATCGTTCATTCTTATGGTCAGAAGAGTCTTCTAAAGGCATAAAAATACATCATGGATCTATTTGTAAAAGTTAAACTACACATGTGTAAAAATTAAACGGCACATAGTACACTAGTGGTCATCTACCAAATTGTATTACTAAATATTGGGTATCAGGTAGCCTTTGGAACCTCAATGGTTCCATCCTAAATAAGGTACAAGTGCAGCTCCTAACTCGTTGGGGGCCCTTCTACATCTTGAGCTGCTATATGAGCCTAGATATGACATAGAACACAAACAGAATGGTGTCCCTGGGGATGCCCACCATCTTAGAGCTGAATGCAGGACATTTAAAATGTTGTGAGGTCCCAGTTCTGGTTGGGCCCACAGCCCAGCAGTACCAGGTGCTCTTCCCCTCCTCGCACACCCTTTTTCAAGCACTGAAACAGCCCCGGGAAGCCATAACTAGTTGTGCCCTCTGTCTAAACAAAATAGGATGGTTTTGCCAAGCTAGAATAGAGATGCTAGGTAGCAAATGGTGAAACTTAACTCATTCTTTTCCATAACAAATTTCACTGTCCAAAGTTATTGCCATTGCTATTTCATCTCTCAACAGCTCTTTGTTAGGCTGACTGGAGGGAATATGGCCAAGACTTGTTCAGTAAATTTTCCTAAGACTTGTCCTGGTCTTCCACATCCAAATCAAGTACTTTATTCAATAAACCAGAGTTGGTCTGTGGTATGATAGTTCGATTTGATCTTTGAACATTACTGATTAAATGAGAATAATTTATACATGGGTTCATTTCTTTCTCTGGGCAAGCAACTTGTTCCCCCAGGTTTTCACATAGAGGGGTACAGGGATTTCCTTAGCCCTCTACGGAAACCACAGGTAATAGAGGCCAAGTAATCTAAACAAAGAACTATGGGTTTGTGGCCATATCACTGATAATTCACAACCCACCTCTTGGGGAATATTCCATGCCATATAAACATGGCTTTTAAATTCATCCATCCAGACTTCGGCCACTCTTAGTGCATTTCTTCGGACATGAGCAGTTAGGTCTTCTGTATACGGCTTATGAGCTCTCTCGATATGGGCAATCCTAGAGCAAGGTAGAACTTCAACGCTACCTCCACACTGCCATACCTAGAAACAAATAAATTGGCCAATTTAGGTACTTCAGTATAGCCAACACTTTCAGTTTATCAGCTTCCTAAGGGTACAGTAAATTCTTTTAGGTTTATAATCAGCTACAGCTTTTTATCTATGAACAGTCTCTCCTGAGTACCTTGCTAATCAACCATCAGTGGGGTCACGTGAAGTAAATACAACTACAATATTTCAGCTTTATCAAAAACATCTTATAGAGAGGTAATAAGGGCAAACATATATGTTACCCTGTCTCTCACCGAAAAAAGCATGGTTCTTGCTCCTTATGGTTATCACAAACTTGGACTGAGACCACAGTTGTGAATTTATCATTTTCATGTGCTACATCCAAACAACAAAAGCAAATTATAGAGGCATACTTATTGAATTCTGTACATTTCTGGAACTTCCATCGGAGACTTGCTAAAATCCAAGCCTAATGGCTTTTCGCAAGCAGTATTAACAACATCTTTGAACCTCTTGCATTATTTGTACAATTGCTTGAATGTTATAAATGCAGACCAGAGAGGAGGAAAAAGGCATTTTAAATAAAATGTGCACATAGCATTTATACTACAGACATGAGAACTAAAAAGGGCTTTTAGTGTCGTGTACAAAATATTCTAAATACCTTTCAAAGCTTTTAACTTTTAGCTGATGCAGTACTTTGATTTAAGCTTGTAGGGAGGTCATGATAGTGGTGATGAAACACGTAGAGTGAACTTGGTGTGTTAGTTGGGTTGGTTCACAGCATTAAATATGAGGTGGCTTTAATATGGTATATTTTAAACTTTTTGTTGGTCATACAAAGATATGGTAGATATGTTATTTCCATGGTTTGGTTAAAAGAGAATAACAAATTGCTCATGCAAAGCTTGCCCATGAATCATAACAAATTCTGCGTATTACACATGCCTGAATGTCTTTCATTTTATTATTATATATTTAAAACACTCAGCAAGGGAATGCCAAGCAAAAGAAAAAATCTTTACCCACTGGCAGAATAGAGGAGGACAGACAAATCTCTCTAGGAAGAAAATTCCACAGTTTGGTGCCATGACCAAGAAGGCACCAGGGTTGCCAGGTCCCCCTTTGCCACCAACGGGGGATTGGGGGGGGTAGGGTGGCCAGATCCAAGTTGGAAAAATTCTGGAGTTTTGAGGACAGAGCCTGGGGAGGACCTCAGTAGGGTAAATGCAAGAGTCCAAATTGAGAGTCCAGTGGCACCTTTAAGACCAACAAAGTTTTATTTGAGGTATGAGCTTTCATGTGCACACACACTTTTTCATACCTCAAATAGAGCTTTGTTGGTCTTAAAGGTGCCACTGGACTCTAAATTTGTTCTATTGCTTCAGACCAACATGGCTGACCACCTGGATCTCTCTGCAATAGAGTCCATCCTCCAAAATATCCATTTTCTCCAGGTGAACTGTAGTCTGGAGATGAGCTATAATTCCGGGGGATCCCCAGATCCCACCTGGAGGCTGGCATCCCTAGTTGCCGCCCATCTAGTCTCAGATGACCAGGGCTCCTGAAGAGGACTGTAATGGTCGAATAGCTTTATATGAGAGTAAACAGTCCTTAAGGTATGCTGCTCCTAATCTGTATTTGTATAGGTCTTTAAAGATCAATACTTTACCCACGGGGGACCCAAGGCAGCTTACATCATTCTCCTCTCCTCTGTTTATCCTCATTACATTAAGGCCACTGGCAAATCTCACTGCGCTAATGGCCTGGGGGCACCTCCTCTCTACAAAGGCCACCGAGCCTCAAGCAAGAGGTGGTGCTACAAGAAAGCTGGCTGCCCTGGACTCATGCTAGGTGGATGGGCCACTGAAAGCAAATGAGCAAGCTAACTTCACAGGTCTTGTGACTTGTTCACCCCTCATAAGGCTGGGGCTGCTGGCTCGCCCATGGCAACAGAGCCATTTTTTTCTTCTTCCCCCCTCCATTGGGGGTCTGTGGCTAAGGGGAGGTCCATTTCCAGAGCAATTTCCCCCCCAATCTACCCCTGCTTTCTACATTAACCTTTCTTACTCCAACCTCTTGTGTTCCATTTCCCATGCAAAAGTTAGACATAAAAAACAGTCATTGGGTATCAGCTTTCAGTCCACTTGTATTTACTTCCTGTGAGCCCCAGGTGTAAACTACACTCTAACATCTATGAGATCAAGTCGGCAAACATAGAACCACAAGTTGCAGTAAATGCCATGACCCAAAAAAATCATAAAGTAAATGAAATCAATATAGCAGACCCCCCCAATATAGTAGAGTTTCATCCCTGTAACTCCAGGAGAAACAAAAGATGACTCTTTCCTTTCATGCTCTCCTGGAAAACCATGCCATCTAATCTCCCATCTTTACTGTGAAGAAAAAATAGGCTGGCTGAACATTGTGTTGGGGAAGAGCTCATGAAGCCTCCAGGTTTGCCCATTCACTATTTATATGCTGTATCAGGAAAACACTCTGCTCAGAGATCCATTTTATACATTTAGGCCATTTGGCTCAGATACGCATTTAGGCATTTGGCAGCTGCTGAGGCTAGAAGAATGTGGCATGGATTCAGGATGTTTACAAGGCCTTTCCCTGGGCTGTTGCCTAATTGCATCCAGCATATGCTGGGAGGCAAGAAAAAGCTTTGCTGTTCAAGCTCACAAGATGATGATTACTCCTTTCCCCTTTAAAAATGGCAATACCCTCAAAACAAAGGATTATGCAGTTTTGTCTCAAGGACTGTGCAGTCTGAGTCTCAGAACTGCTGGGTTATCCCTAATTTAATACCCCCTACAGTTTCTGTACAGGCTGATTGTGTTCAAGTTATTATGGATACCACCCCAGGAAGAGACACCTCTGGTATCCCATGGTGTCAAAAATTGCTGTCAAAAGGGATTCCTGAGTTTCAGACCCATCCCCAGCCCAATCAGTTCTTTCCAATCTGTCGGAATAATTCAGGCCCAGGTCAGAACATGGGATCAGCCCCCCCTACCCCACATGTCAATATGTGCTGCAGGCAAATTTTACTAATTCATGTCAGCCTGTATACTAACTTGGGTACCCAGATCATCATCTAATGGGAAATAAGGAATGGAAACCAGACGAAAACTTGGGGTTTCTGTTAAATTTACTAACAGTAACATCATTGTATTACAGCAGGGTCTCACCCCCAGAGATCCCAGACTGCATATTACTCCGTGGGCTGGATGCAGGAACACACTCCTAAAAGACATGCTACAAATTATGAGGTGGGTTTTTTACCCATACCTGTTGGGAATGGTATTGTGAGGCCACTCAGGTGCCTTGTATCTCTGCCTACCTTGACCAGATTTTACCTCCTTTGTGGTAACCATGTGAATAAGGCCCTGCCCAGGGGATGGTCAAAGGTCTGTGCTGCTGTTCATCTGGCCCTTAATGTGCATTGTGTAAAGTCCTCCCATACAGCTTAAATCATGCTTGAAACTTGAACCCCCTGGTTAGGTTCCAGCAGGAGGCCCTTCCCTTCCTTACCATCCCAACTCTATCATAGAGGGCAGAAACACGGAGTTCCACCAGGCAGTCCACATATTATCCCCTGTCTTGGAGATTCTGATTTTGAGAAAGTCATCGTAAACATGTCAGCTGAAACGGAAATAGCTTTCAGTGCCACCCCTGCCAGTCTGAGTTTGCTACAAGAAGTTAGTTCCCTAGCTGGAAAAGGTAATTCAGAACTGTATATTCTGACTTGGACTAATGGAGGAACTTGTGTTCTTATTAATCAGACCTGCTGCTCTTAGATCGATTTCTCAGGACAATTGATAATTAAAACCTTGAAAATACAGTAAGTGTTCCTGTCCTTCCAAAGGGTTGCTGAAGAAAAGGAACCTGATTTGTGGGCTTGGTTACGTAGGGCTGCCAGATCCCCCCTGACCACCGGCAGGGGTCGGGGGGGGCACCTGATGTTAAAGGCTAGTTCAGCTCTTTTCTTTGCTCTCTACCTAAAAATGGCCAGCCAGCCCTTATTGTTATAGTAGTAACGTATGTTATAATCTAGTTGCTTTCGTGTAGTGTCAGATGTTGCGTTAGAAAAGCAGAACTTGCCCAGGTGTCCCAGGACATACATGCTACAGTATTATGTATGTTACACACATGTGTATTTGACCCTCTTTGATGAGGGTCTATTTAATCTGCTGCTTTCTGTGCCAGGTGGAATTCTTTCTATAAAGATTCTCCCCATGGCTGCTCTGTTCTCTGAAATAAACATCCTAAATTGTATTTTTGTTACAGCAAAACTTATTCTTCCACATCAGCTTCTGAAATCCTCATCACCCAAATTTCTCTATGGGTTCTAGAACTGTGAATTAACTAGCTAGTCTACATATCCACAGATAATGGTCTATGACCCTATGACTAATTTACTGCAAATGTACCTCAGTACTTAGACCAAATTCACATGTGCCATTCAAGATCCGTCTCAGTTCTCCCATTACTAGCGTGACAAGCACACAGGGTTTTTCAAAATGTGAAAATGTGCTGGTGTTAGGCATTTGAATTGATTGATGGCCATGTAGGAGGGTAGATTTATGATGGCATCACAACCTTGCTGTGCTTTACAATGCATGTGCAATTTCTGCCTTACACTATAAACCTGATGGCAGGGACTGCCACTTTTTATCACTTTAAAGCACCTAAACTGTTTTGAGGTACTTAATAAATAATAGCAAAGAGTAAGAGTCCAGTCTCACCTTAAAGATTGGTGGTAGGGTATGAGATTTTGTGAGTCACCGCTCACTTCTACAGATACAGCTAGAATGTGGGCCCATCTGTCCTATATATTGGCCCATCTGTCCTATATATTGGCCAAATGACCTTAGCAGGCAGATGGCAATAGCAGGTGTGATTGGATTATCTTTGTAAGATAACTGCCACTTTTTGATCGGCACCTGAATGTCCTGGAAGGTTAAAATGTTCCTCTGCTGGTTTTTGAATGTTGTGGTTTCTGGTGTCAGACCTATGTCCATTAA